CTGGGGAATTCTGGGAGTTGAAGTCCACACATCTTAAAGTTGCTAAGGTTGAGAAACATTGCTTTAGCCAAAGCAGCCACTCCTGGCACATTGTGCCTGCTTTCAGAGGATGAGATCCTCTGGTGGATCCCTTCTCCCCTCCCTGCAATTTAGTAATAATCACTATTTACAGGGAAATATCACCTCCCCTTGCAATCTTAACCCTCAATTATCTGTTTGCAAGGTCTCAGAGATAAGGACACTCGTGTAGCCTCCTAAAATCAAGAGCAAAAATTAGCCTCCGAAAATCAGGATGGAATGATTAAATTTGCAATTTCTCCTCTTTCCTGTTTCGGTTTGGATCAGGGGTGCAGTTGATCCTTCTACAGGGTGGCAAGTATGTGACTCCCCAAATTTTCAGGGCACTGCCAAAGGTGATATTGGTTTGGAACCAGGCATGTGGCAATCTCTGGAGGACTCCATAATGAGGAAGAGACGTGTAAGATCCAGGACTTCTAAGATGTCAGTGTTTCTCAGCCTTGGCAACTTTAAGTTGTGTGGACTTCAGCTCCCAGAGTTCCCCAGTTCTGGGAGTTGACGTCCCCACGTCTTAAAGTTGCTAAGTTTGAGAAACACTGGAGTAGAGGCTCAGTTGCCACCTGCCCTCGCTCCTAACTGGCTTAGTCTCTATTCAGAGTTCCTTCTAGCCAGCCACTTCTGATCCAAAATCTCAGTTTTTCCACTTCCTTTTTTCAACAGGCACTCTACATTTGGCTGGCTGGGGAATTCTGGGAGTTGAAGTCCCCACATTTTAAAGTTGCCAAGGTTGAGAAACACTGGAGTAGAGGCTCAGTTGCCACCTGCCCTCGCTCCTAACTGGCTTCATCTCTGTCCAGAGTTCCCTCCAGCCAGCCACTTCCGATCCCAAATCTCAGTTTTTCTATTTCCTTTTTCAACAGTCACTCTACATTTGGCTGGCTGGGGAATTCTGGGAGTTGAAGTCCACACATATTAAATTTGCTAAGATTGAGAAACACTGATCCGTATTAAGGCATTACGAACAAACACAGGGAGGTCTGCAGTGGGAACCTGGGAAAAAATCAAGATGGGTCTGTGCAATCAAAATTCCACCTTTTTTGTATGCAGTGAACAGACCTGGCTGCCATCTTGACTTTTTTGACCCCCTATCGGTGTCCCTGAAGAAATATAACAAATCAGAATGGTATTACAGTAGGTACAAAAGCTTGTCCCTAATTCATTTGTTGTTCTGCTGTTTTGTTTGTGTGTGTATGTAATTCATCCTGGAGAAGGTCTATTTCTGTGGTTACTGAGAGTTGATAGCAGCTTGACATAATCCATTTCTGTTTTTGTTAGTGAAGCGTCAGAAACAAACATCATGGAGAGCACAGTAAAATAATGCGTACATCGCTGCAATTAAAATAAACTTGAAGGAAAAAAAAAGAAAAGAAAAACAAAGGATCCATCTAATATTCATATCAAGCCCATTTGGTTCTTAAATTTATTATTAAATCTAGATTGCCTACAAGTGCATTGCTCCATCCTGTCATTCTGAGCCGAGTCAGGCCTTTCAAAAAGCGATGAAGAACGTACCGTGCATCCGTTCTTTAAGTTTAAATCTCTTTCCACCTGCCTCAAATTTTGCTGGACCTCCGTCCTGTTCTTTAAACGTGGTTTGGATGTTGAGCCTTTTGGAGTGGGCAGCCATAAGAAATGTAATCAATAATGTAAATTTAATAAAGAATAAATAGGAATTGTCATTGGGTGGGTTGGAATAGGCTTGTCTGAAAGGGAATCTGGGATCATCTGTTAATTTACCAGTTGGCAGGTGGGGTCCACGTTATGGAGAGAACCAAAGTATATATAAATTGATGATGCAATATTTGCTGCCCTCAGACATTACAATAAAAATGATTGATTATGGTTTGGGAAAGCAGCCATCAATGGCCTTACTGGTATCAGCAGAATATGCCTGTAAAAGGGAATTTACATTTTAGAGTGAGCCTTAATGGGCTTGGTATAGATCAGGGTTTTAAAACTTGGCAACTTTAAGACGGGTGGACATCAAACCTCCCCCAATCCCCCCCCCCCCCCGTGCTGGCTGGGGAATTCTGGGAATTGAAGTCCACCTGACTTAAAGTTGCTGAGGTTGAGAAATACTGGTATGGATTAATTCTTTTACGTACATGTCCACTTCCGATTAAGGGGCCCGGAGGTTGCAAAATAGAATGAAGAAAGAGCATTTGTGTTCACTGCTGAACATATCCAAAAGGAAACCAGGATAACCACTATACATTGGGTTGCAAACTAGTATTAAACCAGGTTAAACACAGTAATATTTGAAAGGCAGATCACTCCCCTAAAGCTCACCTTTACATGTTGAGCGAAGATCAAAAGCGGAAGGGGAGATTTTGTAGAGAAGCAGTCTGGTTTGGTGGGGAAGGTGTAGGAATGGCAGTGGGGGGACCCTGGTTGGTCCCCCCCCAGCCCTGAAGCTCCCCCTGGGAAGACTTTGGGCCAGTCCCTCTCTCTCAGCCCAGTCTACCTTACAGGGTTGTGGTAGGGAGAGAGGGGAGGAGGGAGGGCTGAAGGAAAGGTGAGATATAAATTTAAGAAATAAAAGAGCCAGTAGGGTTGTGATGAAGGTGTTGGACTACGAGGGTCAAGACCCAGGTTCTAATCCTACCCTTACCTAGAAGTTGAAAGATGTAACTTTGGGCCAAGCCCTGTCTCTCAGCCCAGCCCACCTCGCAGGGCTGTTGTTCTGTACCACACACACTGCCTCGAATCCCTGAATTTATGCAAATTGAATAAAGAAGCAACCGAGTTGCTCTTAGGGGCTAGAGGCTTGACGTTTTAAAGATCAGCGATGGCGAAAGGGAAGGCTGCGGTCAGGTTCGAACGCTGCAGCCGGTGCTGCTCCGCCGGAAAGGGCACGCCCAGGCTGGGTAATGACTTCACATCTGAACACGTAAGGCGAGCCCAAAGGGGAGCAAGACGGACCGTCTTTTTGCCGTTCTTTAATTTTTAATCGCGGGCGATGCGTTGCTGCTTCCAGTAAATGGTTTAATGCGCCTGGCAAAAGTGGTCTAATGAGAACTTTTCATAATGGGGGGGCCCGCTTCTTGGGACGCCCATTGTTTTATCTTTGCTGCAAGGCAGCTAACGAACGGCGCTCGGCTCTCAAGCCGTGCAGATGCTGTCTCAACAGCTGGATTGGAGGCACCTTAGTCTCTTGCTGCAAAAAAAAAAAATTGGTTAAAACTGGGTGGAAGTTGGATTTCGTTCAGTTCATGAATGAAACCTTATTCGGCACTCAAGATGCTGCCACGGCTTTTGGCTTTTTTAATGGCAAA